GTGCGGCGCGGCGCGGCGGCGCGCGTCGTCGTACCGGCTGCGCGCGCTGCTGCGGGAGGCGGGCGTGTCGGCGTCCAACAAGGTGCTGGAGGCGCTGGTGCTGCGGTTCGCTCGCGGCGCGCGGCTGACGCACGAGGCGTACGTCATGGCGCTGGCGCGGCTCCACGTGGCGCACGGTGAGGGGCGGGCGCGGGCGGACGCGGGCGGGGCGCGAAGTTGCGTCGGCCTCAAAGTAACCGTGCGTCTAATTGTTGCAGAGCGGTTCCGCAGTCTGGACTCGCGCCTCAAGTGCAACCCGGTGTCCCTGGAAGAGGTGAGTGCGCCCAGTGCTTGGGACGGTCGCCCCGCCCTGGCTGGCATCCCCGCCCTGACCGATGACCCAGCCCTGACCGGCGAAAGCCGCCCTGGGTGATTACTCTTGAAACCAATCTCAATGTCAATGCAATTTCAATCCAATAAAATCTCAATATTTATCCAATGTCAAAACTATGCAACCCCTATCGTAGCTGTTAAAGTAGCATTCAGAGTACGGAATATAAAGCCAAACTCAATACCAATTAGTTCATGAAATATCTACGCAATACGGATGCAATGGGCGCTAGATTTGCATCTCAAGAGTACGAAATTTCACAATGTCAATGTCGGTCGATCAGAATTGGATTCAAGAGTAAGCCCCCTGCCCGGTCGCCGCTCACTCCATGTTGTCTCGTTACAGATGATCCTGATGACGATCTACTCGTGACAAGACGAGCCACGACTCAGTGACCAAAGATATTTATCCGAGTACAAAGCTTGGGCCGACGACATTATATGTGATATTGTTCGACTGTTCGTTGTTGCTATATTCTATAAAAATAGTTAGCACTGTCGTTAGCACTTTGTTAATATTTTTAATTTATATTCGCGTCAAATATAAGTATATAAGTCATAAGACTCTTTTAGTGTTTTTTTTTTCAAGAATATATAAACTTGCGTTGAACGAAGGTCGACTTGGAGAGGGTGGATGAATTAATACACTGTACTAAAATACTAATCGCGTATAATATAACAATTACAATGCTTGCTGCTCACACCTTACAAAATATTTGTCTTTGTCCGTACCCTATATAAATCCCGGTAACGAAACCATAGCGCCATCAGCTCGATCCCAACGCCACCTGTCGAGCGCTGGGACAACTCGTGTTAATTATGAATTATTTTAATATAAAATGTTGATAGCGCTATGATCCCGTTACCGCTCCGAACATGCGTTATTCTGTAATCAAAGAAAAGACTTTTTAAAGTTTATTCCTTTACAATTTTATCTTTAATTGAAACTGTATGCGCTGCTGAGTGTGGCGCACACAACTTGAGATTTAGATAGGAAGAAATCACTGATAGTCAAAGAATATCCGTTTATTGTATACTTCGCTACCACATAACTAATGCTATCTAGGTTGATGTGGTGAGTAGGTACTAAAGTATATGAGTGCTGAGCGTGTACTGGCGCTTTATACAGTGATTTGAGTAAAGTGATGTAAAAGTGCTGATGTGAATGTGCGCGTGCCCTGTACGATACAGAATGAATTTCTTTTCTAAATGAGCACGTTGTACTTTTCCGTTAAATTAATGAACATAAATAAAAAAAAGTTGGCACTACTTGACGGGAAAATGCATTGCAGTGAACAGTTCACTGCAAACTTGGGCCGCCTTTTGTGAACTGACACTCCATCTAGACCACAGATCTAGACATTATATAATCTGAAATGAAATGAAATGAAATCGTTTATTCGGCATAAGACATGCACGCCAGAGAAGACATATGACAATAAAAACGTATAAAAACAGAAAAATAAAAAGATAACAGGTAAATCATAAAACTAAAACAAGCCAATAATACAGGTGCAACATACTGCGCGGTGTTGGCGGACATGCCCATTGCCCAATCCGAACGGGTCACCAACTCACCATACAGCTGGGCACAATGACCACCCAACACTGATTTTCAGTTGGCACGCACGGACGAGAGCAACACATACTTGTAATCCGCATATATCCAAAAACTTAGTTTTAATTTTGTGGGTTCTAGGTGAAGTGTTCAGTCAGATGAACAAGAGATATATGATTATAATTATGTATAATAAAAATATTACCACATGAAGAAGAGACAGATAATAAAAATATAATTAAAATAATCATCTGTTTAAACTGTCAAACACCAAGCGGTCATCGGTGACCGCAACCTATTGTTATATAATTGTGTCTATAATGACGGTACTCGACGAGTTAATATACTTGAAGATATTGTCATAGTGGTGAGTTCTCAGGGGCGTAAATAAAGTTCGACACACGAATGACTGTAAACTGTATATATTGGAATAAACTTTATACTATTTACAAAGTTGCACAATAATACGATGGGGTAAAACTCAAATATTTCGCGGTACAAATACGGAGCGCGTGCATCACGGCTCCGGCGCGGGACTCGTTGTTCTGTCGCGTCGCGTCGCAAGCGTCCAGCGGTCAGTGGCGGGGGAGCGGGGGAAGAGGAACAAACACAGAGGTGGCGGTACAAACAGAGAGGTGGCGTGTTTCCACTAGAGTTGCGCGCGTGCGTCTGACACAAACCAAAATCGATTTGCCGCGTTACATCTGTTAAATAAATAATCATCAAATTAAAAAAAGCGGACCCGTTCTGAAGGAAGTAAGCATGTGTCGTATTTACAATTCAATGCTCAATTAAGAGGTGAGGCTGACTCATCCGACGAACAATACCAACCTAAAGAACATTTGCGTGGGTCGCACAAAAGTATATGTACGACCTGCAGTAGTTAACTCCGTACATTGATCTGTAGTGAAGATGAAGTTAATGTACTGTAGAGAAGCAAGTTTCACCCAGTCGCACTAAGTGGTTAGTTTCTTATCAACAGCCTATAAATTCCCACTGCTGAGCAAAGCCTCTTCTCACACGGTGAAGGTTTGAGCATTAATCAGTAGTTAGTTAGTTTTTTTTAAGGGGGGAAAACCATCGAATTCCTGCTCCCGCCTGGGTGAGGCGGGAGGGAGTGTCAGACTCTTACTGACTAAAAACCACCCCGTTCCTTCTCCCGCACGTCGAGCCGAAGCCCCGGTTACCCGTTAGGTTCTCCGCGACTCCGAATCGGCATCGGTCCTATTGGGCCCCATCTGTGGTGGTCTCATAGCTCTTTGAGGCGCGCGCGGAACGCGACGCGCCGTACGCTCGGGTCTAGAGATGGGCAATGATAATAATCCGGTTAATATCATTTGGCTAATAATCGATTAAAACTCAGTTAATAGCCATTGTGGCTGATAACCCTGCTGTTAATGTTATTTTAGTGATTGAAAATTTCCCTCCATGGTTTTCACGCTTAGGACTGTCAGATTAGACTTCATTTTCATCATCTTTGTTTGTAGTAAATAAATGTGCAATTTAAAACTAATCTGGCCCACTTAAAACGTGAGCACTTCACATACCGAGCCTTTGTCTGCTCGTTTCGTTTTCTTTCTTTGTATGTAGGTACACCAGTTTGAGTACTAAAGGTCCTTTCCGTAGTCGCTGTAAGGAGCTGATAAAACTTACACATTGTACCTTTTATTTTAACGTATCGGTTAAATTTTTTTTGTAGGTATAACCTACCTTTAATTACATACATATCTTTATTTATTATCATTATAAAATTACTTAGCCGAGAATACTGTTGATAATACTTTAAGTGTTCTTCCATGGTTCCCTCTCTAGGGTCCGACACATTTGACATGGACTTTACCACAAATTTCTGAACTTTTTCCGGAAGCTCTCCGTCTATGGATCGTATGAGTGTGTATCAAGAAGTCGGATCATTGGACTTCAGAATCTTTTCTATTTCATTCCCTCCATCACTTGCATCGTCCTCTACAGAGCTGTCATCTTCATAGTGCTCTTGCATCTCTGTTCCATCCTCATAGACTTTGGTGAATGTGCGGGAATAAGCATAGGCAACATATTTTGCATTCGTTAAGATATCTAGGGACTTGACTCATTGATGTGTCTGACATTGAGGGATCTCTGTGATTTCATCAGTGACCCGATGGGTCCACACCCGGCGTGGACCCACTCGAAGAAGTATGGGTTGGCAGTGGCAGAGAAAGCAGACGTAGTGACCAATCCTAAATCAACATGATACGAGAAATACGCATAAGGATCGAGAAGTTCATCGTCCGATGTCATCATCCTGTCGATGTCGTTGCCCATGTGTTCCTCCAGAAATACTCAGTCCACGACATCAGTAGATTTTGCTAATCCTAACAGATTGATTACATAACCGTAAAATATCAGTGCTGGCCAGTCCTGAAAACTTGATCCTGTCGTGCCAATGCGGAGGTTTGAATGATTGAAATATTAAATGCTGGCTACTAGCATGTTGTAGGTAGTCTTTGTGCCCGACCCAGCTTCTGTAAATACATATCACGATATCAGAGATGTCCGGTGCACTGTTCTTCAGTGCCTTCAACTGGGTACTGCTTTAAGACCGCTATCTAAGCCTTGTATTCTCCGATTGTGTTGCTCGTATTGATCTGTATGGCTAAAATATATACTTCCATCAATGATCATCTCTGCTTGGACTTCGATTGTCAAAACCTCCACGGTCTTAGTCTTTGTCTCTGTTTGGGAAATATTCTTTCCCTCTGAGGTCTATTACAATGTCATATGAGAACCGATCATCATCCAACTTCGACTTAACTTTGCGCAATGCTTTACTGGCGGATGCGAGATTAGGACAGACAATACAGGCTTTTTTTGAGGGAAGAAAATCATCGCCTCACCCGGGCGATAGAAATCCAATGATTTCTAGGCGAGAGGGAGTGTCAGACTCTTACTGACTAACCCCCCTTTATAAATAACAGGAAATTGTCACTATTGATCAGAGGATAGGACTTTCTTATGGACTAAAAGCCCCCCCGTTCCTACTCCTGCACTTCGAGCCGGAGCCCCAGCAACCCGTTAAGCCCTCCGCGGCTCTGTATCGGCATCAGGCCTTTTGGGCCCCATCTGTGGAGGTCTGATGGCTCCTTGAGGCGCGCGCAGAACTCGACGCGCCGTGCGATCGGGTCTGGATCTGAGGCCTTAGTAAAAGTTTGTTTTACGTTTAAAGTAATCGCAACGAGTACGCATTCGGCGCTCTGATTGGTTGCTTCATTGGTGCGGGCCAATCAGAGTGCCGAACGCGTACTCGTTTCGAATACTTTAAACGTAAAACAAACCTGTACTAAGGCCTCTGGTCGGGCGGCGAGTCATCCGTGCTCGTCCGCAGGCCCGTGCTTACGGTGGCGAGAGAACGTCATGCGATCCCCAACCCCTGAGTGGCTCTCTTGACGGCTGGGGCGTGAGGAGATTCGTTCACTCACGCGCCCCGCCTCCTCCTTAGCCAGCATGACCGCTTTGCAGAAGGAAGAGACAGCATCCCAGTCCCCCTCGCTTCGTACTCAATTAACGTAGTCTGAATTAGAGCCGGATGCGATGGCGATAAACTGAATATCCCAAAAATTGTGCATTTATTTAACTATTAACACTTTTTCACATACAATAAGTGAAAATAAAAAAAAAGAATTACAATACATTGAATCACATTGCGTACACATACCCAATTTAACACTAAACAAAAAAAAAGCATTAATTTTTTTAACAATTCATTAACAGCAGGGTTATCATCCATTGCGAGGCTATTAATGAACACTTATGGATTATAATCGATAATAACTCAAAGCAGCTGGCTATTTACCCAACACTACTCGGGTCTGTTTCTGGTCGGACGGGGAGCCACCCATGCTCGCCGTCCGCAGGCCGGCAGGCCCGCGCTTACGGTGGCCGAAGATCGTCCCGCGATCCCCGACGCCCGGTGTGTCCTTCGCGATGGCTGGGTTGCGAGGAGGCAGCACTTCGCTGCCTCACACGTCCCGCCTCCTCCTTAGCTAGCATGACTGCTTCGCAAAAGGAGGAGACGGCATCCCAGACCCCTCGCTCCGACAAATTTCGACTACCAAGTTACGATCTCCGTTCAGCAATATCACTTTTATCTTTATTAACGTAA